TTATAATGATTTTGGATAGATAACGTATACACAAATTTTTTTTCAGGCGTTTCTTTAAACGCACACGATTTTTAAGTAATTAAAATCATCAAACTTACGAATCTGTCGAGCAGATAACTCGCTGGAAAGATAAATGGAATGTAAGTTATCATGTAAATCATGCTGGTCATGTCCACCAAAAAATTGGACACGTTGTAATAGGCCGTTATGATGTTCGCGATGATGCTGTATTGGATCCATTGCATCGCATTACTGGCGCTATATAGCACGAAGATCATTAGGATCAGCCATCGTCGTTTGTACACCTGCGTTTCAATGACCTGCGAAAGAAAGATCGCTTTGTTATAAGTCAAAGATACCGACAAAGAGAAAGACAGGTCGCTTTGATCCGAACTTTCTTTGCCGGTTAAAAGTCAGAGTCTTTTGAGCTTTACACCGAAAATCAGTGAAATCTAAATTTTCAAGTGTCATCATTTAAATTTCTCTATACCCAGTACTCCTTTGAACTCTCAAGTACCTCAGAGTACCGGTGACCTAAATTTCTTTGCGCTTAAGATCCATTAAACCTAAGCTCTCGAGTACCTACAAGTATGTATATTTGCACTTGTAATTAGCATACTAGGGAAATTAAATCCCCTAACGTCTAACCCTCATCGTAATTTCTCGATCCCTACGTCTCTCTGTATATTGATATTTATCGATCCTACATCTCTGATCAATACTGATATATCAAGATATATGTGTGTGTGTGTGTGTGAATATTTAAATATCTCCAAAATTCACAAATAGAGTACCAAAGCTTGTTTGATTTCCAGAAAATTTATTAACACTGAACAAGAGATAACAAGTACAAATTCCAACGGATTGATCGAGTTTATAAGTAGCTTCCGTTTCGCAGAGAACGTAGTCACCTGAGAGGGTTGAACGCCACCCTCGATTGCCTTCACATAGTCCACCGAGTTTTTCATTTTTGTATCCTGTCCTTGTTCCATAATTCACCGGCAGAAAACCAACTAAAACCTGAATGCTTGTACCAATTTCTGCCTGATCGATTTCGCTCCGTCGCTTCTTCGATTCACTTCCCCTTGGAATTTCTCGATACTTTGCTCGATTCACTCGCTGACAATTTTCACTCGGCGAGTGTTCTTCCGTTCCTTCTCGATCGAGTCGACTCTCTGTAAAGAAAGAGATTGGACAAACATGCAACGAAATCTTTGTCAATTGTCTTTGACAATGGTGGCGCAAACAAACGGAGGGAAAAGATGGAATACGGAAATGTGTTTTCAAGATTTGAGAGAGAATTCTGAACGAGTGGTTCCTCTTCGTCCAGTGTAAACGCACACTCAAGTCTAGCCTAAGATCTCGTGATTTCGCACCAGGCTTAAAGTACCAATTAGTTGGCCAACAGACTCCTCGCAGCCTCAACCGGGATCTGGAACAATGAATTCGAACGTGGATGCCGTGGAAAAACGTACGAGATCTCTTTCAGTGTCCCTGACGAGAAGTGTCCTTCGTTGTTTTCCTTTTCCCCCTAACAATCCAGATTTTTCCACTGCTTGTCTTGTGGCTTGAAAATTGCGATGCAGTTTAAAAAAAAAAAAAAAAAAGAAAGAAAAATCACGCGATTATTTTAGAAAAAAAAAAAAAATGCGCTCAAACTTGGATAATGATCGAAGGATTTGAGGAACGCTTGTGATTCATCATGCGGCAATGCGAATTGATTATTATAAGGCCAAGATGAGGAACAAATCGTTATTCGATGAAACGCAAAACAATGAATTATTTATAAGGATCGTGCTTCGATTTCCAATGACAGTTTGGACGCGTTTTGACGGGCAATTAACAACGATAGATAGATTGACGGACGACTGGCCTCGTATTTGAATCTTCTGAACTGTAATCAATTGTGTAATCAGTGATTAATAGTAAAGTTCACACACACGTTGCGATAAAAGCGGCACAGCTCGGGGGAAAAAGCACATTTCTCCGATGGTTTTGAAAGGAATTAGATATTATCTTTTCTTAATTAGAGAAACGATGCAAAAATAATACAAATAACGAGGTAACATGAATCAGGAAGAGCAGTATAATTCCCTTTCATCGACCGAATTAATATGAAGATCGATGAAATTTTGATAATCCGTCAAACTGCGGAATTTTTGTGGTAATAAGTCGAAATAAAT